CTTATCCACGACCATGATACATGCATTTCATAAATTGAATTTTTGAGCCAAGCACGTACGCGTATGATAAAATGAATGTCACCATCGTGTTTTACGCCCCAAATTACCCATAAAACATGTGTCACAGGCTGCGAATATTAGTTTTGATTTTCGGTGATATGTGCCTATCCGGTTGACCTGACCTTGACCCTGATCTAAACAGACCCCACCAGGGCGGCGGGTTATATGATCAAGCAATAAGCATGTATATTTTGCCTTTTTGGTACTGAGGATTAGCTGGGAAGGGTTGAATGCAGCGTCGATCCCACTCCGTCTTCGGCCGGAAGTGTCGACTCCGACTCGAACCGACTCAGACTCCGACTCGAACCGACTCGAACTCCGACTTCGAATCTGCAGCGCTGACCCGCGGTGTCTTTGTCCTTCACCGTGTGATACAGCCTGCAATCAATACTCTAGACCTTGTTCTAGATCACAACGCAGCTTATCTACTTCATATCAAGGGCGAGGCCACTTGACCGCTTATCCGATGTTCATACCACCAGCGTCTGCCTCTATAACTCCAGTGTTCGCCACGGGCCCCAAATTCCCCAGCCCAGCCCGGCCCGGGCCCATGGGTTCAGAGCCCGGCCCAGCCCGTAGCCCGCTCTTGGCAAATACTCCAAGCCCAGCCCGGCCCGGCCCGTCAAAAATAGCAATCTAGTTATTGTCTTAGTCTATTGCTATAATAAGCATGATTGATTACACTATTTTGAGAACAATTCAAATTGCATGAATATTAACATGGCAATCATGACTCCCTTCTTTCCAATGAATATAATCATTTTAAGTACCTATGGCACAAATTTTAACAGTAACAGCAAGCACCTCAGTCAATTAGGTCATGATTACACACCTATAAAAGTTTACATGATTATATTAACTACATTCTATGAGTAAAGTTATCTTGCAAGCTGATGTGTGTGAACATATCATTCATAATTGGTGACTCTAATGCATACTTGAAGGAAGTATTTGCAACATACTCTATACTTCCCAGCGCTTACCAGCAGAAAAAAGCTTGACTTATGGGAATTGATGAATCTGTCTGGGATTGACCTTGCTGTTAAATTCACTCCACTGATGCTGCAATATCAAAAGCCTGAGAAAGCATACAAAAAAGGTGACACTAACTTTAGCACTGTCTTCCAAAAAAAGAGAAAATCTATCCATTTATCAGCAAAACTGATTAAATCTATTTTCAATTCATGCCCACGTGTCAACCGAATCTCTGTGGACAACTATCTGCTGCTTTCCTTGCTATTTTATGTTAGGCTCTTTTCAAGATATGGATATCGCTAGCAGCGTAAGCAGAAAACATGGTAAGCTTGAAATGTCATTGGGTACTTTTGCGACTTTTACGCATCATCATCATCAATTGAAAATTAGCGAACACTTCTTGATTATCGCAGCTGCGGCAGGTCGCGATTCTGACCAATTGTATAATAGAACATATATGATCAAGTTTTTATTTTGTTTTACGTTCGAGTTTTCAGACTCCCTGATTTAGGTTTTATTTTTTATTTGTTTAATTTGGTTTTTTACCTTGATACTTACAAAAAAAAAACGTATTTATTATATACTGTTGTGTATACTACCTAGATGCCGCCACATAAACATAGCGCCGCCGCCATGATCGCGAATTTTGTTGAGAAGGGGCTGGTTTGTTGTGATTTATTTTGACAAATTTATGGACATTTAAAGAAGCTTTCATCGCGAAATACTCTGTAGAATTCCTCATTACTTACAGTGTGTTTTGTGAGTATCCTTAAAAGGTTCTGTTCGTTAAAAAGCCGTCGGTGAAGGAAAAAAGACTGTGTTGGAATTGTCTCACCAGGCGCGGATACAAGGGGGGGGGCCATGGGGGCCATGGCCCCCCCCTTGGCCGATTTTTTTCAAAAATAAAATAAAAAGTTAAAAAGTTAAAAAGCTGAAAAGGGGGCCTCCTGAAAATAAAGTGGCCGAAATCCGATGAGTTTTTTTTTAACCTACCCACTTAGTTATTTCTTAGAAGACTAGCTGAGAAGACTTCTTTGTTAGAAGATTGGTAAAGCTTTTCATAACTTGGAGGTCTCTTATACTCACAGAGATGACCACTTTTACAGGGCCTCCTAACCTGCACAGAGGGCCTCCAAGCCTGCACAGATGTTGAGATGTTGCCTGAACAGCTAGATAAGCTCAATAGACGCAGTTTTTTTTGGGGGGGGGGCCAACAAGTGGGAAGATGGGGCCTCCAACAGGTGGGATTATGGGGGGGGGGGGCTCCTGGTTTCTAATGGCCCCTCCCTTGGAGATTTTCTGGATCTGCCCCTGTGTCTCACTATCGCCATATATAAGTTTTAAACTTAATGTAGCCCTGTAGCCCATCATTGTTGAGTGGCTTCTTAGTTTTTGGAGTTGTAGTGCTAAGTAAGTTATTCTGATGACTACATTTTAACTTTTATTAACAAACTTATGATACTAGAGATTCTCTGATCTTTTTGGTTGCGTAATTTTTATGAAAACCCTCCCATGTGTCACATGATGTGATATTGGATAATTCTCAAGATTCCCAAAATTCAATATCAAGTAGGTATCCTTTCACATTGCTTAAATTTGGTTTAGTTTTTGTATTTTCCCAGTGGTTTTTGTTTGCATCAGTTTCCAAATTTTCTTAAATTGACATTAGTCGCAAAACCCATAGTGCACAAAGCTCTTGGTCCGGCCCGTCCATAGCCCGTTAAAGGGAGATTATGACCTTTTTCCACAAAATCTGAGTTAGGACCATTTTCTGACAAAACACAACAAGTTATAATGTAAATTAAAACCATTTTGCTCAATTCGGTACCTTGCCGCAAATATCTCAACTTGAAGTCACGTTAGCGGGGAGCGCTGAAAATGACCGTTGAATAAGTACTTACATCACTTTTTGGTACTTGTATGTAATTTTGTAAAATGAGCGTATTCATTACATTTGATCTTCATCACATCTAGTTAGTTAATGGTCGTCTATAGTGCCTTCAAAAGATATTCATGGTTTGGGGGTGGTTTATGTCTAAATTTACGCAACTATTTTTCCTGTTCATCATCTGTCGCCATCTATATTACTATTTGAGGAGGGTGCGTCTGTCCGTTACCGAGGTCCCGACTTGGTGGTGCTTTGCGTGGACTACAGGCCAGACCGTTGCACCTAGCACGCTGAAATTTGCACAACTTATAGATCAAGGATGCGCGACGTGCCTTTGAGGGGTCTCAGCTCGATCGGATTGATAAGGAGCGCGTGGCGCGTGCTCAAAAAGTGCAAATTCGCGTCATAGACTTTACATGTATAAATCGGCGTGCGAAACCGGGCGAAAACGGCTAATTTTGGCCGACACGGGTCCGGTCCCGGCGCAATATCTTGGTGACCAGGGGTCCGATCGGCACGGGGAAAACAGCATCGTGTACAGAATTGAACGGGCTATTGAATGGTGTGCAATGCAGAGGATAGCACGCGCCACGTGCACCGGAGAGGGCACTTTTATTGGAAAAATTGCAGTTTTTGAGGGATTTTGGAATTAATTTTATTTTTAGGTGACCGTTAAATGGAGCGAGTTGAATCAACGCCTATTTGCAAGAAAAAGGTACCGCCTCTCATATAAAAATTGTGAAAAGCTGATTGATCCAAATCAAGGTGGTGCAAATCACAGGAGAAAATGGTGTTTGTCAATTTTGTGCCACTTTATTAATCACACGGGGTTTGCTGCATAACCTGATACCTTTGGCAATTGAATATGGTACCATTGGATAGAGCATTCAATTCTGTCCAATATTCACTCTTCATTTTTGCATGATTAGCAACAGTATCCTTAAAAATGTAAATGTTCCAAACCATTACATTGTCATTTTTAGCGAAATTCATCGATGGCCCTCAAAAGACTTCACGCCAGTTTTCGAATCATTCTAAAGTAGAACGCATGATAATACGACACGGGCACCTCGATGCGATGCATCTTTTTTGTTTTATTACAAAATGCTTGGCCGTCAAAAAGCAATCGAACGAAATGGATGCCAACCAAATCGACACAGACCACCCCAATACCCACGAGTCAAAAATAACCCTTCTTCGCGTTGCGGAGCACGCGGGTAACCCTAGTATGCTGCTATTTTAGTAGCAACGACTCAATTTTGAATCGGTCCCGCCGACTGCACAATAAAAGAAGATAGATACAACACTTTTGCGGCATCACTGAAAAACTTATGCAGTACTGTTATCAAAATTCTCATAACACCGTTCGACAAACCTGAAGTCTTTTTGAAATAAATATGCTTGTATTTTTCGCTTCAGGCTCTGAGGCCAAAATAATGAATTTCGTAGTCGCAATCGCAAGATTTGGCTGCGTTTCTGGCGCATGCCGTTCATTTGTGGCGCAAAATAATGTTGGAAACAAAGAAGAGTAGGCACTATGTACCCCCGAATTAGAATCTAATTAATTCTAAACCGAATTAACTCTAATTCAAATTAGAATCCTTACAACCAAGCAACGACAAGGCGATAACATAAACAAAAACCCAAGCGTCGCTGTTTGAAACAAAAGCGCCATATACTGCGACTTTTTTATAGAGAAGGACAACGCATTTCGGTGGGTGTTACAAGTACTGCAAGTACTGCTTCTTTTTTGCAGAAATAAAAACCTTTTTCACATACGAAAATGTGCTAGGAAATTTTCATATTTTATAGAAACTACAGTAGAAATAGTATAGATGTCGAGTAATTTTTATTTAAGAAAAAAGAAAGCTCATTATCTCCCTTTAACTAATGATATTTGGGGGCCCGGCCCAGCCCGTAGCCCAGCCCGGCCCATGGCCCGTTGGGCTGGCCCGGCCCGTGGGCCGTGGCGAACACTGCTCTACTCAACACACTGTTGCATGGCGCAGATATAGATTGACCAGAGCTGATAACTTTATCAACTACGACTGTGATAACAGAGCGGCACATCTGTGGACGATCAGGGCCTCCCGGGGGTGGAGTATTTTTCGGCAGACGCTGAGCCCGTGTCCATAGAGGGAAGGTTTCTGACAGGTGTGTTGGAGAGTGGCTCAACTTTCCACTCCGTGTCTGAGACTCGGTAAGTGATAAGATAGTTTTAAGAATGAATTAACTTGTCATTGCGTTACGGCCATTGTTAGCCATGATTAATTATTCTAATTGGATAAACAATTTATTTGAATTGAATTGCATCATACACGTCTTTATCATTACATAGTCATAGCATGTCAAAACTAACGTGTTAACTTAGTTTAACCCGCGCCGTGTCGGGGTGGGTTGTCTGAACACCCCCTTCTAATTCGGCTCCTGGGCCACGTAGCGACACGCGGTAAGAAGCAATCGAAAGAACGTCTAAAATAACCCGCGCACCGACGGGGGTCTGCGCCAACTTCGTACCGACGGGGGGGGGGGCGGATGACCGCCCCCTGAGATCTCAAGAACGAAGCAAGATAGCGACAAGCGGTAAACGGCATCGGATACGCACGGACAAGGTCTACAATTTTTACTCAGGTCATTTTCAGGTCAGGTCAAAGATGACGTCACAGGGGTCGAAAAAGTCAAAATGGCGGCGCTAGATAAGGAGAGTTTTTTCTCGAATAACTTTCATATTAGTCATGATAGGAACAAACTAAGGGCATCGTGATCCTCTCGTCAATCCGCATCGAATGATATATATGTTGACCTCGAAAGGTCAAGGTCAAAGGTTGATCTCAGGTCACGTGACCTCGAGGTCATCATGTATATCATTCGATGCGTCTTGACGAGCTGAGCACAATGAGACCATCTGCGCGGCTGTATCTTGTTCCTGTACGGAGTTATTGGCAAAAAAACCTTTGGTGAACTTTGATGACGTCACATAACCTTACAGCTGCCCAACAGCAAACAGACCTCAAGGTAGTGCAGGTTGATCGTATATGAAGTCATGTATGGTATATGGGGCCATTCCGACCTCTTTTAGTGGTAAAAACAGGGAGTTGATTTTTCCCCCATTGACTTTTAATGGGGAGGTCGCGAAATTGACCTGACCTTAGGTCACCGACATCAAAATTCCGAGATAAACAAATTGTAGCTACTAATGACCTAATAACATCCTGCGACTTTCAAAGACCTCCGCCATCTACTGTAGCTTTGGCACGGTGACAAAGTTGCAAAAAAGTGACTTGAGGCTGGGTCATTCAAAGTGACCTGGTGACCTGACCTTCAAAGTTAGGAGGTTCAAACTTGCACACCATGTGTAAAATTGATGAGAGAATAGTCTAACCTAATTTCGCGGCGCTATGCGCCGCGGTTTTCCCGCTATTCGCGAAAAACCTCAGAGGGCGGATATCCGCCCCCGTCGGTGCGCGTGATAAGGACGAAAACACCTCGGTCATTTTTTGGGTCAGGTCAAAGGTCGGCACAGGGGGGGTTGATGCAACCCCCTAAGGTTTTTCACTAACAACTCGCGTAAAAAGCGGCCGATCGCTACGAAACTTTCAGTAACCTTGCATTTATCCATTCTACACCTACCCTGAAAATGTCATGACCCTGACCCTAATGACCTTTGACCTGTGACCTCTTTTCCGTGACCATGTTTGGCCAAAATCGCGATTCGGCGTATGTCGGCTCGAATTAGCCATGCGTTTGCAATCTTTTCGTGGTTTCAAACGTTCAAACATGTGATTTGATGTTGCTCCCATGCATTAGGGTGGGTGTAAAGGTCACCTGAAGGTCAGGTCAGGTCATTGTCCTTTGGTGACCTCGGTTCACCTTTTCGAGTTTTCCATGTTTCTAGGCTAGTTTTTGGAGCTGGATTCGAATTTAGCAACCATTTGTACATTTACGAAATAGTTTTGGTGCCTTTATAACATGTTAACCCTCGCCCTGGCAGGGGGGGGTCGATGCGACCCCCCTAAGGTTTTTCGAAGGTAGCGTAAAAACGACGGCGCGCAGCGCCGCCAAATTTAGCACAGCCTATGGGGCACCCTTTTTACATATGACCTGAAAATTTCAGGTCCGGGTGACCTTGGGTCAGGTCACCAGGTCAGAAAAACCGGTACAAGGTCATGGTCAAATTTCAATTTTCTTTTTGCGCCTGTCCAACTCACAGTTTTGCACTGAATTCCTTCAAACTTTCAGGATGTGCTAAGTTCACCGAGTTGTATAACATATAGTTCGGGTTTTTTGAGGTCACTGACCTGAGGTCAGTTAGAGGTCATTACGTCGTAATGTTAAGCCTATGGGAAAATACTAAATTCGGAAAATACTGGAGATATCCGCTTCGTTCTATCATTTTTGTGCTTTGAAACCACAGTACTTAACAGCAGGTCACTTGGTGCTTCTTTGTTTGGTGTACTTATCCATGGGTCAGGTCAAATGAGGTCAACTGAGGTCAAATGACGTTTTTGCCAATAACTTGGCACATAATGACGCTAGAACTTAAAAAATGGTATCATTGTCTTCTTGTTGATCAGCCGAATCGAATGATATGCAATGTGATGCAATGTGGTTAACTTGAACTTAATTTATTAATTTAAGTTTACTTAAAATTTAAGAAAAACTTTAAGCACACTTAAGCAAGCCAAAAAGTATATCATTCGACGCGCCTTGACGTGCTGAGTTCACTGGTGCTTTTCTTTTTGCGCTATCTTAATTAGATCAAAAGTTATAAGCGAAAAACCTTTGACCTGTTTTTAGCGAAATTTTTACATTTATACCCCCCGAAACCCCCCTAAATATTGACCTAGAGCAACCAAATTTGCACAGGGGCGAGAACTCCAGGGGTCCACCTACCTACCAAATTTGGTGTTTCTAGGTGCCATAGGAGCCAATCGCGAGGGGGGTCGCATCGACCCCCCCCCTGCCAGGCCGTGTTATAGAAAATGCCCTGCCAGGGCGAGGGTTAACCCTCGCCGGACCTATTGGTTTTCTACATACGCGCCGGCCGAGGGGGGCGAGTACGACCCCTCGCCGTTTCGCCCCTGGTGGAGCTAGCGCGTCGCGGAAAAAACGAGCGTGTGCGACGTTACGAGACGCAGAGATTGGTACCCGCTTTTAAGGTCCTAGGTCAACCGGTGACCTCTGAGGTCAGGTCAAGTGCCCCAAGGTACGGTTCAGTTTTTGGTGAATAACTTCGCAAAAAAAACGGCCGCAGAGCGCCTATTTCGGCAACATCGTGTTCGCCTCGCTCAGGCGCGTCGAATGATATACTTTTTGTCCGGGTCAGGTCAACTTGGGGTGTTGACCTCAGGTCAAGGTCAGGTCAGCACCCCCAGGTCGCGGAGTCAGTCGAAAGAGGTCATGTCGCATATCATTCGATTCGGCATGTCTTCCTGAGTCCATTGGTGGCTTTCCCGACTCGCTAGCCCAATTTGATCAAGAGTTATTGACGAAAAACTAATATAACCTTGATGACGTCATAAATGACGTCACGCAAGGTCAACATTGCAAAAGTGACGCATCTAATCTTGCAAGGAGTGCATCAAATCACGATTCTGTGTGCTTGAGATAGTTGGAGATCGTTCCCGGTGCCAGAATAGCAGTTTTCATTTTTCCCCATTGACTTATAATGGTGAGGTCACGAAAATAACCTGACCTCATATGACCTTTAGGAAAAATCCGAGATATACAAGTTGTGAGACTCATAATGGATACTAGATCCTGCAAGTTTCATTTCCAGCGTGCTCGGAGCTATCGCGAAAAAAACCTATTGGGGGCGGCACCCGCCCCCGCCCCCCTCGGCCGGCGAGGGTTAACCCTCGCCCCGTTGGGGGGGGGGCCATTTTGGCCCCCCCTGTGGTTTTTCCTGAATAGCAAGAAAACGGCGGCGCGCAGCGCCGCCAAATTTTCAGTACCTTCCCGGGCATCAATTTGACACCTTCACACCAAATTTCAAGTCTTAGGTCACCTTAGGTCAGGAGTTATTGAGGTCAAACTGAGGTCATGTTCGAGCAAAAATGAGCAAAAAACATGCAATCTTGAAACGCTCACCAAATCTACAGTTATCAAGCAATTTCAAAGTTCTTTATATGGTCTAGTATACAAAAAGCGGCGCTACAAAACTGCTATCTCGGATTTTCAAAATTTTTGTTTTTTGACAAAAAGAAATTCAAAAAATTGATTTTTTTAGAAAAACTTTGAAAAAATCCAAAATTTTTCCGAATTTCGAAAAAACCGGAATATATGTGATAGTCCCAGCGCTCTTCTATATACATACCAAATTTCAAATCGATATCTCGTTTTTTGGCCAAGTTATAGCGAAAAAACTGTTCAAAAATGATGACGTCAAATTTTTGAACTCAATTTTTAGCAATTCTAGACCACGCACGGCAAAACAAAGACCACGATTGAACTCCCCGTGACGAGCTGCATCGATTCGATACCCATTTTATGCAAAAATATTAACTTTGAAATTTGACCTAATTTGACCTGACCTTGACCTGACCTTGACCTGACCTTGACCAAAACGTGATCTAAGCTGGCCCCAAAGGCTGCCTGACCCATATAATCGCATTTGTCATGTAAAATGGACCATAAAACATGCATCACACGACACTTTCATATTGTGACCCCCCCGTGACCTGACCTCTGTGACCTGACCTGGTATCAGTGACCTCAAATAGCAAAATATGTGTTTGAAGAACATTTCCCCATCGATGATTTTCAATGAAATGTATTTTACTCGATTTTACAACGCATTTCTTGAAGTGCCTGTAAACGGTGAAAATTGGACCTTTGACCTGACCTGTGACGTCATCGGTTTGACCTAGGTCAATAAAATTGGGTCACAAGGTAGTTCCCCGTTGGGGCTATCCAACGCCGTTTACCGCTTGTCGCTATGTTGCGTGGTTCTCGAGATCTTAGGGGGGGGGGGGCCAAAATGGCCCCCCCCCAACCGGGCGCGTTGCTCGGCAGAGCCCAACGGGGCGCGGGTTAACCCTCGCCCTGGCAGGGGGGTCGATGCGACCCCCCAATGTTTTTTTTCGAAGATAGCGTAAAAAATTTGGCACAGCCTATGGGGCCAACTTTTTACATATGACCTGAAAATTCCAGGTCCGGGTGACCTTGGGTCAGGTCACCAGGTCAGAAAAACCGGTACCA